ATCAACAAGTTGGATTTGTGTAATAATTAACAAAGATTTCTTTAATCAAGCCATGGTACCGGTTTACCACCACTACATATGCATCATATGTATTAATTATGAGGCAGAGCAGAGAACGAAAATGAAGAATTAACAATTAATTAATGACAACTTTTCAACATGTGCACAAAAAAGTTAGGTTTATAACCTATGATTAAGGAAGATTAACAGGTTGATTTGAACCAATTAATGATATAATCCGATCCTCATAGATAAATCTTCATTATGTGACCATCAAACCTCAAACTCAAGTTATAAGCAACAATTAATTTTGACATTCATATATCACTCATAACTACACTATCTCTCTTGGGATTTAAGCAAGTCATCACAAATAAAAAATTAACCTCTTAGATGTTTTTCTGTGTTACATATTTTATACTGCCTTGACAATATTCTATAAGAAAATAATTGAAAAATAAGGTTTTTATACAATTTAATTTATTTCATAATCTTATATTTTGTTTCATAATTATTTTTTTTTACTCTATTAAAATTTAAAATACTATATATATATATATATATTTAATATTATGTAAAAATTATAAATAAAATTTTTTTTTAAAAAAGAATTATATACATATTAGGTTTAATATCCAAATTGGTCCCTAAACTTTCATTTCAAAAATTAGTTTGTCCTTTAACTACAGAAAGCACCCAAGTTGTCTTTAAACTTTATTTTTTCATAACCCAAATCGTCCTTCCATCACGGAACTGCATAGCTGGCAAGTTAGGTCTCCACCAATTACCTCTTTTAATTTTTACAAGCTTACATGTAAAAAAACACCACACTCAATTGATGATGTGGCACCATTCAACGACAGGTTAACCAAAAAAGTGAATGAATTTGGATAGATAGAATAACAAAAATACATATATTCCAATAAAAACCATCTCTTACATTCAATTACAAAAACCATCTACAACATTGAATTATAAAAACCACAACCGAGACCCACATGCCTATGGTGATTTTAAGTAGCAATACACTAGAAATCAAACCAATGAAAATTAAAAATACCAACCAAATCACTTCACTGATCATCATAACTTTTGAGTGTCTCTTCTCCGCCTTCTTCACTTTCTTCTCCAAAACTCTTGGAGTGAGCAACAAGTTAAAAGTCACCGTGCTGAACCAGAACCCCACCAGTAAAATACCCTCGATCCTTTCCTCACCACCTGAACTTGAACCCGAACTCCATGCAAGACCAGCTACCATTTTCTAATTCTCACAAATCCAAAATCTAAAAGACAAATAACAAAGAATTTAGGGTTCAAGGGAAGAAGAAGGAATCACAAGGTGCAGAAGATTTAGGGTTCGAAGAAGGAGAAGGAATTAAGAGTTGTGGAGGATTTAGGGGTTGAAGAAGGAATCAAGGGTTTGAAGAAGGAATCAAGGGTTTGAAGAAGAAAGAATCAAGAGTTGTAGAGGATTTAGGGGTCAAAGAAAAAGGAATCAAGTTTGATCTGCAAGCATCGCGACCAATTGCTTTCTCTTTTTTGGAAACTGAGCAATCGGAAACATGGAAGCAAATGCTGGCATGGTTACCGGCTCTTATCAAAGGATTTAAGGGTTTCGAAGAAGAAGGATTTAGGGGTTAAAAGGGAGTCAACTCTTATTGAAGGATTTAGGGATTTTGAAGAAGAAGGATTTAGGAGTTAAAGAAGAGCCGGCTCTTACCAGAAGACTTACGGGTTTCAAAGAAGAAGGATTTAGGGGTTAAAGGGGAGTCCGCTTTTTACTAGAGGATTTAGGGGTTAAAGGGGAAAAGGCTGTTTTATTTTATTTAGAAGGCTAGAGCGGCAACAATCAAATGTGGAATGAAAATGGTGCCACATCATCAAGTGAGTATGGTGTTTTTTTACACGTAAGCTTGCAAAAATTAAAAGAGATAATTCGTGGAGACTTAACTTGCCAGCTATGCAGTTCCGTGATGAAAGAACCATTTAGGTTACGAAAAAACAAAGTTTAAAGACAACTTGAGTGCTCTCTGTAGTTAAAGGATGAACTAAGTTTTGAAATGAAAGTTTAGGGACCAAATTGGGTATTAAACCTACATGTTATTACCTTTTATTTTGTAAGTCAATAACCTTCCCCACGGACCCCAGAAGGGAAGCATGGAAATGATGGGCAAAATTGACGTGGAGGCATGGATGACCCAGTAAGGGATTTGGCAACATCCTGGTGGACCCCCAATCTTTCAGCCGCATTGTACTGTTCTTCCGAGACATTGAGATGTGGATTTCTTTCTTACTACTGTGTTGGGAATGTGAAGGGAGCGTTTGAGGCCCTCTCATAAGGTCATGCTCAAATCATCAATCAATCTTTTGATCCACAGTTAAATTTATTAATAAAAAAATATTATTTTATATATTCAATTTAAATTTTAAATTTTAAGATGAACCGTAGAAGTATTTTTTTAAAATTATTTAATAACACCCTTAAATTTTGAAATACATAAAAATAAAAATTAACTTAAGATACCCAAATTATAAATATCAAAAAAAAAAATTCTTTTGAAGGAAGGGTCACTAATGCAATTGTTAAGACTATCAAATTTATATTCAATTTAATTGATATTTGTAATTTTTTTTAAATAGATAGTTATTATGTTTAAAAGTATTAATTTATAAATTAATTTTAATTTATTAAATAATAGATATTAATTATTATATTATTTATTAACTATTCTTAACAATTAAATTAAATAAATTAATATTTTTAATACAATTTTAGTGTTCTTAACAATTATATTAGTGGGCCATACCACGTCCTGTTTTCCGCTTCACAGTGATATTGATACATATCAATCACATTCCTTGGGCCTTGGCCACCATTTAACCCACTTGGCTCATCATTTTTAGCTTGAAAGTACACCACGCACATACCACACAATGACATGGCTTAAGGAAAAACAAAAGCATCAAAACAATGAAAAATGGGCCCCGTTTTTATTCAGACACACCCGGAGCTTGAATTTGCAGCTCTCAACCTGAAAATGAGGATCATTTTAAAAAAGAGAGTGTCTGATGCTAAGATGTGGGAAATCAGAAGATAATGTAAACAAATAAAGCAGATGAGCCTTCATGGGATGATGGAATTAGTTGACATAATTTATTAATGTCGTATTGGCTACGGGGCCTTGCAATCTGAATCACAACTTATCTCTACTGCACATGACCACCAGGCCCATCTAACATGCACACAGCACAAATATTTTCACAACCATCAATCCTAGAATTAAGAAGAGCTAGCAGATGCTCAGAGCCAGGGTGCTACTTGTTTTTGTCTTTTTCATTTCCACCAATTGTCAAACCTGCACCCAATCACAGGCTGTCATTAGCATGACTATTATATTACTTCACAATGCACACATTATAATACAGTTTCTGGGTGTCTGCATGGTTAATTCAAGAACACCTGCACTCATGTTATTTAATATAATAGCATGGGATAGGGGTTTATGTTAACTAAGATTTTCAAAAGTCAGAGCCAGGCATGCATATATACTTTACTAGAGAAAGAAAGCAGCAGCCTCCAAGAAGAAAACAACTTTACCTACATTGGTGATGGAGATAAATATAACCATGCTCATGCCTGTCAGAGTACCCCTTAATTGAATTATAATATAGCTGTATTGTCCATGATGTTTTGTCACAACATTTGTAATATCAACTAACAATACTAATCTGTATATTAATATGAACATTCCAGTGACATGGAGATGCAAAGACCGGCAAATAAAAGAAAAGAATATTAAAAAAGCATGCGCAGTGTAGCACTGTTTCATTCTGGGATGCACAATATTTGATTTAAATATAGCCAGCACACCAATGAATGAAAAATGTATAGAAAATATTAGGAGCTTAGGTTATGAATTCATGGTAGTCAGCGATCAGGTTTGCCCATACCCAGATGGCTAGTAAGGACCAGCCTGACAAGCTGTCCTTGACCGTGCATGGTACGGTACACAGTACTTTGCCTCTGCTGCTGTCATGCTCTTCCTGTTGCATTTCTTGAACAATGTTATAATACTTCCCCCATGATAAAGACAAATATATGTATATCCTCTTTCAATAATATTCATATAATGTTGGTATTTCCCCCTCTTTTCTCTCAAACAGTTTTGCTTTTAAAATTTTGCCAGGGTTTCATCTGGTCACCAGGGTGAACCGGATTCCTCCATTCTATTACAATATCTAGTATTATGCATGTGATAAGCAAAGCAAAATCAGGAAGAGCAAGTAGGTGGATATGGTTTTATCCCTTTTCTGAGAATTTCCTCAAATAATTCAGTGGCTAGATTCCCACGGCCATGTTGCTGGCAAGCCGCAAACATTGCTGTCCAACAAACCACATTACGATTCTCAATCTGTTGAAAGACATGACAAGCATAGTCCAAGCATCTGCATTTTGCAAACATTGAAATTAACAACGACAGACACACGAATTATTTGAAAACTCAGTCTCTATTATTTGGTCATGAATCAAAGTGCCTTGATTTACTGAAGCATGAAGGACCAAAGAGTTTGGCGCCTCTCCTGATGATTCACCTTCACTCTTCATAAGCCAAAAACATCAGCAAGCTTCGTCAAAGCTGTTATTATAGATACACCCCATTACCATATAACATTCCAGGCAATATCATTTTTATCCCCGTCTGCATCAAACAACAAAGCACCATCTTCAAATATGCCACATTTGAGATACATGTCATAAATGTTATCTTCACATAAGGCAAAGTCTGTAACCGTTCTTAATAACCAATGCATGGACTTGTCTCCCGATTCCCAGTGCACCCACATTAGCGAAAGCACTTAAGACTGGGAAGAGAGCTGAATAGTACCGAACAAATCCCCCCTAATCCTAAGCCTCCCTAATAAACAACACCATTGCCTTATAACACAACTTGTTCGACAAGCAGCCAACTATCATTGAATTCCAAGAAACAAGGTTTGTTCTTTCAGGCATTTGAACAACCACCTTCTCTGCCAAATCCAAAAACCCACACTTGACATACATATCAACCAACGCAGTACCGACAAACACATCGGTGTCATACCCATGTTTACAGATTAAGCAATGCATCTGTTTCCCCGTGAAAAAAGACGGTAGTATCCGCATTGCGCACAGGCGGGTAAGAGTAAAACCGTGGAGAAAGTGAAGTGATTGGGTAAGTACCGGCGGCCCTCATTTGGGTATAGAAAGAAAAGGCCTAAAAGGAATTGTTGAGATGCGTATGTTTGAGGGATTGGGTGAGGAAGATGGCGTTGCCGTTGAGAAGATTGCTCCGGAAGGTGACGAACTGGGAAATTAGGAATAGTTAGAGGATCAACGTGCAAATGCAAATTACAGTGCCGCTCCTACCTTTTTGGCTATGGTAAAATTAAGTTCTCAATTTTTTAATTGTCGTATTTAAGTCCTTAACAAAAGAATCTTAACCTTTCTATGATCAACCTACCAAAAATAAATAAATAAATAAATTCTTACTTGGACCGAGATACATACCAAAGATTATAGACTTTTGATTGTATTCCTTCTAGGATCATATTAACTAAGTTAGATATATAAATATAGAAAATTTTATTTTACAATTTGAACCATAAAAAACTATAAATATGAGTACAATTTAATACAGTTGGAATTACACTATACTTTTTTAATAAACACATATATATATTTATAAAAGTTGGTCTAATACTCAACTTGAGATTTATCCGAATCAAGAATATTGTCATTAGATGTTAACAGACCATATGTCAACAAGAGCATCATTGATCTTCATTAATAATGGAATAAATAGTGATCGAAAAAGAAATAGGTGCAAGAATGGATTCTAATTAACACAAGTATTATTTTGAGGAATTCTTGCAAGGATTTGGTACAATCTTTGTGGTAGTTCCATTACAAATATAGTGAAACTAATTTTGATTTAAACAATTTGAAAAGGTTAGGGACTCAATTTCAACAATAATTCAATTCAACTATTAAGTGGATGAGGACCTTGATTCATTTTGAACTGCCCTAGAAGGTTCAAAACTATTGGCATTGATAATATGGAATTTGGTACACAAAGAAATGGGCCAGAATGGTGGCCCGTGACTTTGGTGGATGGTAGTTGTTGTGATTGTTAAATGTCCGGCCAGTGGCCCAGGCAGATTTGATAACAGCATGTGACAATCATAATCTATGGTTTCTATTAATATGTGTTTATATTATGTATTTTGCCATCATATAATATTATATATAAAAAGCACTTCCTTAGCTTAATTAGCTTATACACGTGGCTCAACTAGTTTATAATTTGAGATTTAAAGTGAGAGATCTTATATACAAAACACTTGTATATATACGCCCCCTGAGTCCTGACCTCCTTCTCAGCTCTCAACCAAACACTCCTCTTTTCAGATCGCTATTACATACATACATCTATCTTGAGTTGATTAATTTCTCTGCAGGCGTTTAGAGAAGAATTCTAAGATGGCAGACGACAGCACAGCAACGTGCATAGACATCCTGCTAGCCATCCTGCTGCCCCCTCTTGGTGTCTTCCTCAAGTATGGATGCAAGGTCAGTACACTACCTAATTAAGACTCCTACATATAAATTAAATCCTTCTCCTAGCTACCTTTCTCTGTATATATAACATCTTAATTAATAATTTTATTTTATATACTGTATTAATTAATTTATAATATGGTTGCAGGTGGAGTTCTGGGTTTGTTTGATTCTGACATTTTTTGGCTACCTTCCTGGTATCCTTTATGCTGTCTATGTCATTACCAAGAACTGATCTCCTTCTATGGTAACAGATCGAGAAAAAACTGCAGGGTTGCTCCTCCTGTGTTTTTGTTCTTGTTTGTGTGTGTGTGTCTGTTTCTTTTTCTTTTTCTTTTTTTTTTTTTTGGATGAGGGTGAATGTGAGCAATTAATTAAGATTAATTCATCTAGCTATTTTCTGTTGTTATATTTCATGTGTAATTGTGTTTATTATATTGTTGGAGTATGTATTGTTGTCCCTTAATTTAATTTTACTTTACATCCAATATCTATCCATTTGTTGTGTTTTTCATTTCAATTCTTAATTTCACCAGAATTAAAACCAAATCCTTTGGGTTTAGGGTTTACCAAAGGACTTGTTTGGTTGGATATCATTTTATCAAAAAAAGTTTTTACCAATTAGAAAGTGACTGTACAAAAATTTGCTAAATTTTGTAATAAAATTTTATTAAAATTTTATTAGATTATTAACTGTAATGACCTAACTCACTACTATAACATTGTGTGCTTTAATAGTGTCTATTCTGTTTTAGGGTTCGGAGCCTAACATTAATTTTATTATGTTTGGTTAGAAATTAATATAGGTAAAGAAAGTTATTAAGTGGGTTTAATCAAAAAAATAATTATAAAGAAACTTTTTCTCTATAAAATAAGTGAAAGAAAATTTGTAGGTTGAGAATTATGCCAAGAAAAATAAAAAATAAAAATATTATTTTTACTTTTATTTTGTTATAATATTAAGGGGTTAGTCCGTTTTATTTTTAAAAAATTAAAAAGAAAAAAGATAAAAAACACTATAATTCATACTTTAAAAATAAACTTTTTTTTTAATGAAAAATTATTGAAATGATATAGTTTTAAGATGATTTTTCT